CATTCTGGATCCCCGGTGGCTGGCTGCCTGGCTGCAGTACAGGGACCTGGAGACCAGTCTCTGCCCACTCTGCACGCAGGGCAGCAGATGAGATTGGAGGGGCAGCTCCTCTGGCCCTTTTGCTACTTGGTAGGTTCCAGAAAAATCACTGATTTGCAAGTTTCCACAATCTGGGGACCCCTTTGTTTAAGTAGACAAGAGGCCTGTTTAAATAAAAATAGACAATCAGACAGAAGAATCATTGAGTAGTTGGAATAGGGGAGGAGACTCTCATAGCAAGGTCACCACGCCCCTATCCTCTGTGGGGATCTTCTCTCCAGTCCCCCGACAGATGCACAATTTGAAAAATACAGACTGCACTGAATTCATGCAGGAAAAGCAGGGCTGCAAGCCCAGGATGGAGCTTGAGGTTTCCCAAAATGCTCTCGAGGAGCGTGAGAAAGGTGCAGAGTAGAGCAGATCGCCCACCCCGCAGTGATGGGGACACGGGAGCTTAGGACGGACAGAGGGCTTGGTGCCTACCCAGCCTGCGCTTCCCACTTCTTCTGGTAAAAACACCCTCATTTTCTCTGGGGGAACTACTCCCACTCTGTCCCTGTGCTTTGGCTAGGCTCTGGCCGTGTTGGGAGCCTGGTGCTCGGATCATTCCGCCCCTTCACCTCAGTCCCTGGTTCAGGATTACAGCTGAACCTATCAGAGACCTCCAGACCCGACCCAAGTTTACAGAAGCAACCAGGAGAAAGACTGGATTTGACTCTGGAAAGATGTAAAACAGGTAGAGAGAGCCCATCTAAACATGCAGCCAGAACAGGGAAGAGGAGAGACAGAGTGTCCTATTCCTGAAGATTTACAGTCCTGGATCCAGTCTTCTCAATTAAATCATCTACTACATCTTCCACCTGGTTAAGTCCACACCTGTTAGGATTTTGTCACGTTGCAACTGAAACCTTGTGACTAATACACAGGAGCAAATTATTTAACCTTTTTTTAAGTTTCCATTTTCTCTTCTACCACGTGTGTCTAAAAAAATCTCTAACCCTTACCTTTCAGCAGATCTATAAACACATAAACACACACATCACATCCCTAACAGCAAGACGGGAGCAACAGCGGTATTTTGAATATTTATTAATTTTAAGGAAAATCACACAAGGATTGGTTCTCAGTCCTCTTTCCTCTCTAAATGAGAATGAAGAGGACCGTAGACAAAGCAGATGTTCATTGCAGGTGGGCATGAAGACGTGGGAGGAGGCTGAGTATTTGTTCTCCAGAACACGGTGGGAGGTGGGGAGCATAGGAGGCCCCTATTTTGGACTTTTCAATTAGAGGAGGAGGGTCTGAAGGTGGCCAAGGGTTCAGGAGTCTTGCAGATGAGATTGGATCAAAAGAAACCTCCAAGATCATACAAGCCTGTAGGCTTTCAAGGTCAGAGAAAAACCACAGGAGCAGTGGAGGAGCCCAGGCTGTAAATAATGGGCGACCTCTCCAACAAGGCGTTGCCATTCACAGCCAAGTTCATGCACACAGCCAAGTCCTCCCCAGACAGAGATGGGCCAGGAGTACTGTTTTGGGGGACTGCCACCTTGGAAGGCCATTGTGGTCTGCTCCGGAACCCTCCACAGCAGTCCCAGGGCCCTCATGATCTCAGCTGGGGTGTCTAAATACCACCAGGGGGGATTTCCCATGGAATTTCTCCAAACTACTCAAATGTTTCATTTCCCATTGTTGCCAGCCCCTGTCTGGAGCCTCAACTGTCAAAGCCGCAGCAGATACAGGCAGCACACAGGCTGCCTCCCCCAGGATTCCACCCCCCAGGACTCCACAGAGCTGGCTCCGACTTCCCCTCCCGCCCGGGAAGCTGGTGTTGGCAGGATACAGTCTCAGCCAGGGAATAAGGTCTGTTAGTCAACTAGTGAGGCAAGGCAGAGGAGTGAATATGGATGTGCCCCACCCAGGCTGCTGGGGACAGCTCTGTGCCATCAACCTAGTCGGTAGTACAATCATAGTCACCAATATCTACATCTGTGCAAAGAAACTCCTCCCCAGGTCTGAAGCAGTTGACTCCAGACAGACAATGTAGCATTAAAGTCTGACTTTTAAGATGTAAACTTGTTTTCTTCTTTTTTTGGTACTAAAGATTGAACCCAGGGGTATACTCATCAACCACTGAGCCACATCCCCAGCCCTTTTTTATATTTTATTTAGAGACAGGCTCTTGCTGAGTTGCTAAGTAAGTGCCTTGCTAATTTACTGAGTCTGGCTTCAAACCTGAGATCCTCCTGCCTCAGCCTCCCGAGCTGCTGGGATTACAGGGGTGCATCACCGTAATGGGCAAATTTTGTTTTCTTGACTGGGGATGTTTTGAAGGAATTCTATGTTGTAGTTCCTATAAATATGACCAAAAAAAAAAAAAGAGAGAGATTCATTCTTGGTGATTGATTGATGATTGAAAAGCACCTGTTTTGAAGCAAGTGGTTCACTGGGCATTTTGGTGACCCATATACAAAGAAGGCGTAGCTGCTTGTCCATAGGAACCTGTGTCGAAGAGAAGGCTTAGACCACAAAGCAACCTGGCCCGTGAGAGGGACGAGGAGTTTATTCTAGGGATGATGCACTTTGGGTTGAGTAGAGTTGCCAGGCAGTGAATGTGGCTCATCACTAATTCTGCAGGGTATGACATGTACACAGACCATGCACAAGGCCAGGCAAGGCTGGGTGCACAGGGCACAACCTGGAATAGTGACCATGCTTGTAAAATGTCCCTTCACCAGAACCCTTGCTCTGCACCACAGAGGTTGCCCTAGTAATGAGTTTAGTTATGTAGCTCTTCATTCATCCATCCGCTAAAGCCACAAATGTTTACTGAGCACTTAGGATGTGCTAAGTAGAGGCCAGGTGGTGGGGATAGAGAGGTGACTGCCGCTGCCTTGCTTGGGGAGCTCTCATTAGAGTGGAGACACGAGCCATCAAACACGGGAAATAATAAAGATATGTAGGGTAAATCAGAGAACAACCCAACGCACCTGTGAGAACCTGCCTGCCCCTCGCTTCTGACCTTCCAATCGGATGCCACGTGCTGGGTGGGCATGGGGGTAGGGGTGGGTTTGGGTCAACACTTTTATGTAGCAAAACTCCAGGGACCAACCAGAACTGCTCCCAAAAAAGATGTCAGAGAAGGGTGACGACTTCACAGTTTACACAGCGCTCTCTTACATCCGCGAACACTTCAGGTCCTGCCAGCAGTGTAGCAGCGATTTTCTTCACTTCTGAGGGGGAGGCGTCCAAGACTGGGAGTGACTGGCTGCACTGAGGTCACACCAAGAGAAAGGCCGGCCTTGCTCCTTTTACAAAGCCGGAAACAGGAGCCAAGCAAGGGGCCCATTTTATTTTCCCAGTCACATTATGTGTCGGTATTCAGGAAACAGAAGTGCACAAAAATCTGCTGGAAGAAAAAATAAACACCTTTGATACACTGCTGGATCTCTCAAAGTAGAGACGGGGGAGATTTTAATAATCCAAGGCATTCACCGTCTCTTCCCACCGCACCTTTTTCTGAAGTCAAAGAACTAACATTTATGGACATCTGTCCGGAAGCCTAAGAGGCCAGTATGAAAACTCCCATTTTCCAGATGAGGATACTGAGTCCTGGACATACTCAATTATCTAATTTGCTCATCTGATGCCAGGACCCGCGGAGGCCCTGCTGGCAAAGCCTGGTCCCCAGGGTGGCCTCAGGGAGTCAGGGCCGCTGGAGGATGGGGGAGGTGGCGGGGAGGCAGGGCCCAGGGGCTGAGGTTGCAACTCTGCCCCCCCCCCCCAGGCCGCCCTTCCCGCCCACTTTTTAACACGATGGCATCCCTGACAGAAACCCTTGTCCTCTCCCTGCGCTGGCCCTTCCTAACACAATAAATAAAGCCTTCGAGTAACGCGACCTGAGCCAGGCAGTAAATGATGGCACTGTCAGTCGTACACGACTGTTGAAACAAACACAGACTGTAATCATCGTGCTGTACCGGGAGGAAGACATTTGGCAAATGAGATTCCATTTTCACATTGGTTTGTGCTGAGCATATAAATTTCCAGCGGGCCGGCCGGCGTCGGGGATGTGTAATTGATTGCCTGCATTATAATAAACAAGCCGTGACAGGTGATCATTCATCATATTCCGCTGAACGTTCCAGCACAACCGAGGACCGAGGAAGAGAGAGGGACCGCGCAGCGAGGGGAGAGGAGAGCGGCGCGGAGGAGGGACCTGGGGGAGGGGTGGGGGCGCCCGCCGATTCCCGACAGACCGCCCGCCCCGGGGTCCGGGCGGGGGAGCGCGGCCGCAGCGGGCTCGGGGAAAGTGAAAGCAATTACTATAATTCTTTTGATTATCTAATTTGTTCTTTCTGGCCTTCGTTAGGTGACCCTCCCCCACCCCCCACCCCTCTCCAACAGAGGAGGTCCCCCACGGGGCCTCGGGAAGGAAGGCACCGAGAACGCCCCTTCCAGGATCCTGCACGCGGAGGGGGGACGGCGGGGTGGGGGAGGGGCCGCGGCTAGTTGTAATCGGAGTCGAGACGGCGCGCGGGAGGAGGGTGTGCGCGTGTGTGCGTGTGCCTGTGTGTGTGCAAGACTTCGCCTGGCTTCTGCACTACCATGAATCTCACGGAACGCATAGGGACCAGGGTCTTTTTAAAATTAAAAAAATAAATAAATAAATGTAAAGGGTGTTTGAAAAACAAGTGAAAAGTTCCTTTTATTGGAGAAAAGGACAGGATCCAAGTTGGCATCAGATCTGGTTCCACCAGCC